GATGCAACTAGGACCCATAACCATCCAATGATTGTGTATCAGGAGGGTCATCGTAAAATTAGTGGCTTGAGCCCGGATGCGAAGAAGGTTGTGCGTGACATGACAAAGTCGAAGGTTGCACCGCGTAACATCATGGCGACTATTGCAGAGTAATTTCCTGATGATCATCCAAACATCAAACATATTTACAATTGCCGAAATGACTTGAGAACGGAGATGTCTGATGGGAAAGGAATTGTTCAGCAATTTCTTCATTTGGCGAGACAGACCACTACCATCAATCAACTCCAGGTGCTCCTGTGCAAGACGACCTCGCCAGGTAACCAATGCAGAACACAACTGTGTTCTGCTCAAACAGCGCAAAACATTACGCTCCTGCCCGCCCCATATATATGCAGCCACGTGACCACCAAAACTAGAGATAACAGTACCATCCTCAGGACCACCTGGCATCGGTTGCTGAACTACCCATGTCTCTGCTGAGCTGGTCTCGCTTGACTGCTATTAACAAATCTCCCATGCTTACCCCTATGCACCGTATGATAATCCTGAGGGTCATACTCTTCATCTCGATCAACCTAACTTGCTCACTCTTCGTCCTCATCGTCAGATGAAGGCACTCCACCCGACGAGTACATGGGGAGGCTCCCTTGCGAGTGATGCTCCCCCGACCAAGTACCAGGAGACCCATATTGCTGCTCATGATGATACGGTGCCCCCGTATTTACCGAATGACCCGACTTCCTCCTAACAGACGCATTCAAACGTCTTGATATTGCATGATGAGCACCTAAACCCTCAATCTACATTAAATAAGTCAAAATCAAATATCAGTAATAATTACAAATATAACTATGATATTAAAATTGAACAACTAATATTAAAATTCAAAAAATAAACAATATTACAATAATAACAATATTAATAACAATAACAATAATAATGGTAATAATACTAATAACAACAACAATAAGAATATTCCCAACAACGATAATAATAATAGTAATATTGCTACTAATAATAACAATCCTAAAACTAATAACATTACTAATAATAATAATTTTAATCGGTTATTTAAAGAATATTAATCACGAAAAAAAAATAAGTTAAGCACGAAAATAAAACATAACATTAATCATGAGAAAAAAAGAAAAAAAAATTCGGAATAATTTTAATCGGTTATTTAAAGAATATTAATCACGAAAAAAAAAAACATAACATTAATCATGAGAAAAAAAATTTGGAATAATTTTAATCGTTTATTTAAAGAATATTAATCAACGAAAAAAAAAATATTAAGTACGAACACCAAAAAAAAATCTGGAATTCAGGGACATCCGCCTGAAATTTCCGGATGTTCCTTGGGACATCCGGAAAATTGAGGCGGATGTCCCTAAAATTCCAGAATTTTTTTTCCCAATTAACAAACAAATTCAAACTGTACCTGTTCGCCGCCGCCACCACGACCGCCGAAAGTCAACTTGATTCGTCGCCGGTCCGCCATTGCCGGATTTCTTGTACCAATTGGATTGGTGGTGGTTGTTGGTGTTTTTCTTTTTAATTTTCTGTTTTTTTTTTTTGGGTTTTTCAGATTTTTTTTCCCTAAATTTCTGATTTTTTGAATTTTGGAGAGAATTTGAAATTTTAGAGAGATAAACTTCTAGAGTGAGAAGTAAAAGCGTGAAATGTGTTGCGCGAGTGAGTGTCGTGAGTATTTGTATACGAGGGGCAAATACGAAAATTCATGACAAAAATACGAGCGACCCCTTGTAATTTGGGAGCAACATTTAACAAAACCCATATTTACACTTGGTTTGGATTGAAGGAAATGGAGGGAAAGGTAGAAAAGGGAAATGAAGGGATGAACTATCTTTTATTTGGATAACAAATGAGGGAGGAAGGGAATTGGAGGGAAGAGAAATAGAGGGATTAAATTGTGAGAAATTGATCTCCACAACAATGGAGAGATTTGGAAGGAAAACTCATCTTTCTTCCCTCACCACCCTGTCTCTTTCCTCCCCTTCACATCCCTCCCCTTCTTTTCTTTCCCATTTCTTTATCCAAACACACCGTTATGGATTTGTGGTTGAAGCAATTTTCTATAGGAAAAATTTTTAGGAACTACCCACTTAATTAAGTCATTTTTTCAACAACTACTCACTTAAATTTTTTATAAAAAAACTACCCCTTAAATTTAAAAAGTTGGAGTGACACTACCCATTTTGATTTTCCGGCAACAAAATCCGACAAGTGTGGCCGAATTTTATTTTTCCCCTCAAAACTCAAGCCTAAACCTCGTATATAACAACTAACCTCATCCTCTTTATAGTTACACAACCTAAAAACACAAAATTTTTAAAATTTCGCTAATTGAAGAAGGGGAAAGTAATTGTGGTTTTTAATTAAGAGATATGTAATGTTTCTAAATTGATGTTCAATTCACTTATTTGGCTTCTTAATCGTGTGATTCTTCATATTGTGCTTAAGTTTTGGAAAGAAAAACAAAAGTGAGCCCCACTCGCTGGATTTTATTGTCGGACGACCAAAATGGGTAGTTCTAGTCAAACTTTATAAATATTGGGTAAATTTTTTTATAAAAATTTTAAGCGAGTAGTTGCAGACAAAATGACCTAATAGGTGGGTAGTTCCTAACAATTTTTTCTTTTCTTTAACCTATCAAATATTCAAATTGTTCAAAATGGGCTTACATTCTACTAAATGGTCTAAACCCCTTAATTTTATTATATTTTTATTTTGAAAAATTTGATTATAATAATCCGACCTTTGTGCGATATTATTTTATTAATTCGACCTTTCATTTATTCCACAATAATCCAAGATTTAGGGGTAGTTTTATTCTATTAGGTCAAAGTGACCTGCTACCTGTTCTTCCGGTAAAAAATTTATACTTTATTATTTTCAATTTATTTAACAAAAAAAAAGTTTAAAAAAAAATTATATATATTCCCATCCAAGCAGCCACCCACGAGCTCCCCCTTCCATTGCCACCCACAACCAACTGCCGGGCCTGCTACCCCTTCCCCTACCTTTTCCGATTTTCGACCACCCTCTTGCCGCCCCTCCTTCCCCGCAACCACCCCCAAAACCCACCTCGTATAATCAAAGCTTTCAAAACCCAGAACCTTTGAATCGGATCCAGTAGTGCAGAAATTAAAAGGAAATAGTTTGAATTCGGTTTCGAGGGTGGGGTTTGGGAAGGATAAGGGGTTTGGGTTTTCTGGGTTTGGGTTTTTAAGGTGGAGGAAAGACGGTGGGTCGAGGTTTTCAGGTAGAGGGGTGATGGTGGGGTCGGCTTTTCAGGCGAAAGGGTGGTAAACCGGGGATTTCTCTGCAACTTTGATGGTGGTGAAATGGGTATTTGTTGAAATTACATTTCTTGTCCATACTTCAATGAAATCAATTTTTTTATTCATGTTTATGTTAATTTCTAGGGATTTGAAAATGGGTTCATCTTGAATTTGAGAATTTTGGCAAGATTAATTCTATTTACTGGCATTGTTCATGTTTTGTAGAAAATTAGATGCAAAATGTTGAATTTTTTGAGGGGATAATTTCAAGAACATTTCTTTTTTTTTTTTCTTGCAAATTTTAATTCTGGGAATTTCGAAGCTGATATGCTTTTGGAAGAGCTGCATTTTGCTTTCTGGGATCTGAAATTGGTTTCCCAAGTATGATATCTCTGGGATTTCGGTTGGAGGGGTCGGGATTTCAAGTGGTGGCGGTGGGCTGCGTTTTCTGGTGGAGGTGGTGACTGAGAGGGGTGGGGTTATTGAGGTTGGATATGGAGGTGGTCGGATTTTGGGGATTACGGTTGTCGAATTTTAGAGGTGGCGGTTTTGGAGCTCCGTTTTCATGGAGATGGAAGGGAAGAGGAAGAAGAAAATTAAAAAAAAAGTTTTTTTTTGGATTAAATAGTTTTTTTTTTAAAAAAAAATTGAAATTTAGTTTTTGGACAAATAAAAACATAACACGTGTTAGGTGACCTATTATTTTAGGTTAAGTGACCTGTTTAACCTAATAGAATAGTAAACCCCCCAAAGCTTGGATTATTGTGGAATAATCAAAAGATCGGATTAATATAATAAAATCATGCAAAGATTGGATTATTAGAATTAAATTTTCCTTTTAATTTTTGTTCTAATAAATAAGAAAAGTGTCAAAAAGTGTTTGAACCCAAAATTCTTAGGATTGTTTGATCTAATAAGGGGTTTCATATTTATTTTCGTTTATTGTCTAGATAGTTACATTTTCTTACATACTTTGTATTTTACCGGGGAAGGCTCAATGTCCGTGGAAAATTCAGCTGTTGATGAGGAGTTCAAGGAGCAGCTTCGACATTTCACCTCTATTGATTCCCACCACATTTACTGGGAGAGTAATAGAGCAGCAGACTAAATTTTGTACAAGCTTATCAAGATATCGATAGTAAACTTTCTTTTCACTTTGTATTTATTTATTTTGACAAGTTAGGGTATATTCTTTATAGAAGAATATCCTACAAGTAATTTTTTGTTTACCTTTCCTTTAAAAAAAATAAAAAATAATTCTATTAAGAAATGCAACCATAACATGATGAAGCTTAAACTTTGTTAGTGAAGGTGTTAGGTTCCTATTAGCTCGTTTTAAATGTATTTATTCTTGCACAAAATAACAAGATAAATCATGCATTCATGCTATGACCCATTATGAAATTACAAGAAGAAATATTTATAAAAAAAAAAATATATATATATATATATATACAGTAAGGTTTAGAGGAATTTGAGGTTGAATGATTTCTAATTTCAGCACCATTTCCTAAAACATCTGATGAGGATTATTACTGACAATTCGGCATAAATTGAAAAGAAAAAAAGATAGTGATAACCTTAATATTATTACTAATTGCAACTTCGAAATTTGAATAAATCAAGAATTATTAAGTATAACCTGAAAACTACCTTCATGTTTGGAAGATGAATAAAGATAATACCACCACATTAAGAATGCCCGTCAACTGAGATGTTGATGGTTCAATTCTTATTTATAATGTTTGTGCCTTCTTTATCAACTAAAAGAACAAAGATTTAATAAATACTGTTTATGATTCTACTTACTGATACAATGTAGTTCCAGATAATTGAAATCGAGAACATTCATACCACTAAAACCAATCACAACGAATACAAATGTGGCTCATCTTAGGTAGTTAGGTAGAATGGTAGATAATTAACTAAGCGATGAGCATAATAAGGCATTACATACTTAGATACTACCGAGCCAACATGCTCTATTATCTGGAATCTAAAATCTACACTTCATCTTCGGTGAGCTCATATTGCTGCATCAACTGGGAACAGAAACTCATGGGTTCCTCCACGGTAAAGCCCAAGTTGTTGGCAAATCGATCATTAGAAACCTCGCCACTGTTGCTGGTGAGGGAAACACGGGAACGATCACGTCCTGGGTCGGCCAATTTGCAGTTTGCGTGGGGGCTGCTCACTAGCACGGTGTCACAAACATTGTCCTTCTGGTCATTAGCCACGAAGATCTTGTATGAACCTGTGGCATCGGTGGTTGCTTCAGCATGGTAGAGGACTTTCTGTGTGTGTCTGTGACGGCATTCCAACTTCACCTTCACATCTGAAATCGCGAATCAAAATTCAACATTAGAAATCATGCATCGCCCTTGACCCCGGTCACTGATCTAAATGGAGTCTAGACTAGTATGAATGTATGATGCTGTTAATTCAAGCTCCTAAGAATGTACCAAATCCAATAGTACAATCAATTAATCATTCATACATCATCAATTCGTAAATCACTTGTACTACGTTCCGATCACATGAATAATCAACCTGACAATTAGTTCAAGACAGACTGATTCCAGGATTTCTAATACTCCGTATAAATGATAACCTTTCTTTAATACTCCGAACTCCCTAATCACTATAAATGGTTCAATTAGGTATGAATGACCTCCAACTACAATGATGTATAATCATGTCACGTCTTCGATACTGAGTGGATCGGGATTACGGGGTAGTAAGATCACGTCACATCTTTGATACTGAGTGAATCGGGATAGTAAAATCATGACATATCGTTAATTATGGGAGAATCAAGATAACAAAATGTCATATCTCTACCAACTGGATCGAGACAACAATAGCATTCGTTTTGATACAGAGTGCATTATTAACAAGCAAATGCTACTCGTAACCGTATCAATAAATGAATCCACAATAATCAAAAGTATTTAATTAATCAGTAATTAGTCAAACACAAGTCAATTCCAGTAAAATAAATATAAACACACTCAAGATCGTGACAGTACACTTTTAAACATAAACAAATACAAAAATACATCACATTCACATCAAATCCAACTCAATCACAACAAATCCAAGCAAACAACCATGAACAAAGTAGATCTAACACAAAAAGTAGTAGATCTGGAGTAAGAGAGAGAAGAAAGAGACCAACCTTGAAGATAGGTAGAAGCGGGGGTTTCAAACCCAGCCTTACAAGGGTCACAGTACACGCGACCACGAACACAGAAAGGCGATTTCTCAGGCCTAGCAGCAAAAGCAATGGCAGGAAGAACACATAGTAGAGCAATTACTGAAATAATCTTAGCCATTGTTTTTTTTGCTTGAATGAATTTGTATGGTTACTTTGGGTTTGGTTTTATGGAGGAGAGAGAAATTAATGTACTGTTGTTTGGGAAAGGAAGTCCCACAGTCACACTGTAAAGTCATGAAAACGAGTCAAGTGGAGGGATATTGTGTGGTGGGGTGTATGGTATGAGTTTGAGTTGAGCCGTTGATTTATGGGATTGTTTGATGGACGGTGGGGATGAGGAGTTGTGTAAAGGAGTGTGTCACGGAGAGATGGTCTGGCAAGTGGGGTAGTGTCGGTGGCGGTGGATCACATGGGGCGCTGTAATCTACTATGTTGCGAATCACTTTAATTATTCTGCTTTCGATTTAAGTTTGATTTTTGTGTTTTTTGAATAATCCAAACAAATAATTTTTGTTATCGTGATTATGAAGTAATTTTTCAAATTTAATTTCTAGATTACTTTGGCCGCTTTGTTGACCGTGATTTTAGGGGATCAAAGTTCACACAAACCATAAGCATTATTTATACTACCTCCGTGACTTAATATTTACAACGATTTGACATAAAGTGTAATTGAAAAGTATTTTATTATTACAAATAATATAAAACAGATGTAATATAAAATTTGGATATAAAATCGTCTTATCACCAAGTCATGTCATACCTTATATTTTATATTTATGTATATAATAAATGACAATGTGAATAACAAATTTAATTATGAGAAAATTGAGTCATAAATTAAATGTAAATATCCTACTCCATAATGATTAACCTATGTAATGACCCAAGGAATTACTCTGTAATAATTTTTATTTTTTTGAGGAACCCTACCTTTTCAAAAGTTTGTGAAAACATCCTTTTTTTTAGTATGAGAAAACGCTTATGAATAATGTGAGGATAATTATATCCTTAAAATGTTTGTTAGACTATATGTCTGTATTGATATGATGTTAATTGCTTGAAAGATTTTTCCTTGTATGATTCAATGATTTAAATCTTATAAATAATTTTTAGACAATTATACCCTCTAAAAAATTGTTTACTTATTTATCACTAACGTTAATTGTTTTTATTTTTACTCTTAAAAATAGTGTGAGGACATTTACTCATTCTGTCCCATAATATATGACACATTCAACTTGTACACACATGCCAATACACTAGTTTGACTTTATTTTTATATAAATTAAATATTAATGAAAATTATTATAAAAATTATATTATAAAACTTCATATTAATAATTATCTAACAACAAGTTTTATGATAAAATATGTTTTTATTACATTAGTAAAAAAATTATACTCAAAACTAATACATAAATAGTGAAAAAAGTCCAACATCCCAAATATTTTGGGATGGAGGGAGTATAACCCTAGTAATTAAAAAATTGTAATATTTGTTGAATAATAACATAGGATTAGTACTAGTAAAAATGCTCAAGGTTACGCTACAATGAGAATATGAGAGCAATGAAATTGTAAATACCTCCATTGGCTCCATACTTTCTATCCTCTTAACTTTCCCTTGACTTTCTCTACATCTCCTTTGCATCAGATCCTTTCTTCCCTAATGATCAAGAACTAATATCAATGGGTGAAGCATCGAATGGAGCTTGGACTTGCGGGTTTATTAGAACAGCAGCTTGGTATGATTTGGGCCAAATGCAACGTCACATGTATGGTATGATCAAGAACTAATGATCAACTAAGCCCAACATTCACCAGGCAGCAGTTGTACGGTATGGCCCAGCTTGATACGATTTGGGCCAAGTCCATCGATTCATAAGGACTTATTTGCCTTGATATTTGCCCATCCATTCTCCGGGGTAGGGGTGTTCAAAAGTTGGTCCGAACCAACTCTAGACCGGACCAAATTAATCGGTCCGGTTTTCGGGTCGAATAATTTATTTTTCCCGGTCTCCGGTCCGGGCAAAATCATACAAAAGCCGGTCTTAGACCAAATTGGTTTTTTTTGCTTAAAATTATACATAAAGCCTTTAATAATGATTAAAATTATCCCTAGAAAACTTTAATTATATGAGCTTTTTTGTACTAAACATACAAAAAAAGACGTTAAAATATTGTTTTTCCTTTATTTTATTCGAGTTTTCTATAAATAATTTAAATTTAGAAAATTTTATAAAAAATTCTAAAATTGGTCCAAACTGGTCTGGTCCGGGTTTTGGACTGATATTTTCAGTCCGTTTCGGGTTTGATCCTAGCTTAATCGATCTGGTTTTCGGTTCTTGAAATTTATTTTTTCGGTCTTTGGTCCGATTCGGTTCGGTCTTAGACCGATGAACAGCCCTACTCTGAGGTACAATTGACTTGTTAAACCTTGTGATGGAACCAGAAATTTTTCATGGGGGGACCAAATTTAAACATGTTTTGTATTTTAAGTTCCAACACATTTTCTAATTTCTCGTTGGACAAGGACAATAGTTAAGATTCTAACCCTCTTTTTGTATTTAGGAAAATTTAAAGTAACTGCTAAAAAGATTTTAATTAATTAAAGTTAAAAAATCCTTCTCTATAAAAAAAAAAATTAACGTAGAAACATTGCAAAATAGAGCCTTTTGTCCTTCTTTGAGCCCACTAGCAAATTTTGTGAATTTAGAATGGAAAATTCTACATAGATCATCTTTAAAATGACTACTTCTATTCTTAATTCTTATTGGTTGATTTTTGATTTATTTTTATGTTTGGTCAAACTTCTTTTTTAATTTTTTTAATCATTTATTTATTTTCGAAAATTATTTTTTGATTTTTGGATAATTTTTTGATTTTTTTTATTTTCATAATAGTTATTAAAATTAGTTTTTAATAAAATCAAGAATAAAGATTAAATTAAGAAATCAAAATCAAATTATTGTTCTTCATTTTTTTTAATGTTCTTCATTATCCGATGAAATAACTACCATTATTGTAATCTTTGTCCCGTAAAAACACTCGCACATCAATGAAAATTGAAATATGCATAGATCTACATATTACATGTGAAGTTTGAGTTCGTTCGAAATTGGGATTCATGTACGAATCTGAGTTTGTTTTTAGTCCTAAAACAATATATGTTAATTGGACAATTGCAATCAAGGGATGCAAAATCGGCCATTATATGTATGCGAAAATAAAAAATTATCAAAATTTCGAAATATGGGTTTGTGAGGCAAATCGAAGAAGACAATCGCGATTTTTGTTTTGGATTACCTATTTGATCCAAAAAAAGAAGATGTAATTTTAATTTCTATTTGTATATAAGGCATTAACCCAAATGCTAATAGGGCATCATATCATATCACTATTAATAAAGCCGGTCTCGATGTCAGGCCACGAGACAACGACACATGACATTCCAGTTTTTCGCCAAGTGTCGCGCCACATAGGCGATAAATAGTTATTATTGTGATACGTATGATGCTAAGTAAGAGATTTTTGAATAGGTTATTTAAGATAAAATTGTTGTATAGAGTTTTATTATCGATAGAATTCTAATATTTCATATATACAAAATTAATCTTAACATTGTATAAGTATCCTATAACCCAATTCTATTTCCATCATCAAATTCGTTTTAAAAAGTTCTTTAAAATAACATCCATTTATAATATATTTAATCACAAACTTTTATATGTAGCTGGTCAAATCGTGTCACCAACTATTTTAAAAGTTACTTCGTTAGTGCTATAGGGGTTACTTGGTCAGTGTCATAGTGGTTACTCAATCATTGTTATAGATAGGGGTTACTTAGTCAGTGTTAGAGGTTACTCAGTTAGTATTACAGGGTTACTTTGTCAGTTTTATAGGGGTTACTTTGTCCGGCAAAATGGTGTGGCTAGCCGCATACAAATGCATTGCTATTTATTTTACTTCCCCCGTTCTTTTTTTATTGCACCATGAGGGATTTCACGCTTGCCAATGCATTACTCTAACTATTAATATCTTCAATTATACTTTTGTAAAAATCATAAAAAAAAATTGATATTTGAAAAGTAGATTTCGAGACGAATATAACTAGATCCCACTTGACTATGTTTTTCCTAATGGATAAATGACAAATGATGGTCAAAAAAGATTAAGTGAATAGTGAAAGTCTTTATGGTGTAATCAAAGAAAAACAAAGGAAGTATTTAAAAAAAAAAAAATAGAGACTCAGTAAAAACAAGTTTTTATTTGTAAAAATAATTTTAGTTTGGTAAAAATACTTTGAGTTCAATGAAAATAATTTAAGCTCAATATAAGTAATTTCAAGTCAATAATAACATAGATATCTATTATTTACAAACAAAACTACAAAAAGTACACTATTATATAAATATAAGCCATATGATATCGTATGTCTAAATATCCTACATTATCATAACGGATTATATGACCGTATTTAACATTCAAGTAAAAATGTTATCTTAAAATTTTATCAACTATCTGGATATCGCCCGGGCACAAAACTAGTCACCTATAAAACACAATATTATTGTCTTTTTTTCTATGACCATATATTATTTTGGATATTTGCTAATTATTAGTTTATAATGCATTAATATCTTAATATTTTTCTTAATTGATAGCAAATAGGACTGTGGTCCTCACTAGCCAAGTCACAATGTATGTTTACCAGGTTTGATATCAATGATCACTTATATATCTAGTTATCTACTATTGTGGTTTGAAATCTGTATGCATATACTTCAAAATTAAATTAACTCTCAATCTAACCACCTTTAGAGCAATCTAATGACAACCTAATTGTCAAATTAGATGATTATCTTCGTATTTATCGTGTAACCCAATGCATGGTTGGATACTAGTTTGTTATTAGTTAAAATAATGAACCATCTTTTGTTTACTATTATAACTTTACAATTAAGGAGATTGAGACCGGTTCTACATATATAAGTAATGTCATATCCTAATATTAGACGAATCCTACATAATAACCAAATGAAAAAAATGTGGAATTAGAGCAATTACAATGGCAAACTCTTTTTTTTTTTTTTTGAAATATATATTTATTTAATAAACTTTGTGATATTTGCTTGCTTACTACTTGAATATTTTAATATAAAAATGAAATACTAATTTTGTTTCTCATATTTAGATAAAATTCGTAATG